TCACGTGTTCACGTGATATTTAATTACACAAACATAACTATCAATTCATAACATTAATTATTATTACATAATATTATTTAATAATAATTATTAATATATAGTACTAATTAGTATTAGATATATTTAAGAAATAGTAACCAATAGTAGTAGTGTACAGTAAGGCACAGTAATGGCGCAATAATGAAGATCATTAGATTTAGGTATAAAAAGGGACTGAAATTACTTTACTCCTCTTTAGTTTACAATTTTATAATTTTGAATTTTGATAATTTGTAACTTATTTGAAATTGATAAATTTAATTTTATAATTTGTAACTCCAAGATAAATACTTGTAAAAATTACTTTACAATTGAATTAATAAAATAATAAATATTGGAAATATTAAATAAAAGTTATATTAATTGATAAAATATGTAATTAACAAAGGAATAATGGATATTATGGGATTAAATACTTGATTGTATAATTGTATAATATTATTATTCTGGAGTTAATGAAATTATTTATAAACTAATATTTAATCTGGATAATTAGAGATAATATTCAAAGTTTTTGAAATTAAAAGAAGATTAATGGTTGGATGTTAACACTAAAGATGATGATGAGCTTGAAAAGATATTGGAATAAATTGGATGAAAGGTCTGGTTCCCTTTTTAAAATAATTGAATCAATGGTACCTTCTAAAATAATGAAACAACAGTCTTACCATTGCGAAAAGACTATAAACTCCTTAAAAGAACCATTAAGTCACTCTATTGAGTTGTCCTCAAGAGAACCAGGAGCTGCTGGTGACAGCATAATCAGGTTGTAGCCTGACTGGGATAGTATACAGTTACGAAATATTACATATGACCTGCAAAATTAGGTAGGGAAACCTAACAGGAAGTATAGTGTAGTTTCGAAGTGTTACGTACACTAAGAGGTGTGATACAAATTCGATTTAGTGAGACTGATTGCAAGGCAGACTGCCACAATATATCTTTCTGGTGCTATGAAAATTTTTTACTTTATTATAAATTTTTTATTTTCATAAATAAATAACACAGAAGAAAACATTCATTTGAGTCAACGTCATCACCAGTGGCATCCTTAGAATTAAATCTAATAGATAAGTTATTATATTCATTTTATATAAGTTAATATCAAATTTAAATAAATACCATATATGACCATTCATCTTTTTTTTTTGCATAAAAGAGTTTAACCTATTTGACAATAATATATTAATATTTATGAATAATTCATGAGTAAATATTTACATTATTTACATTTTTCATTTTTATAAAAGTATTAATTTTGTCTTTTTCACCAAAATAAACAATAATTCCATTTAGAAAAATACTAATTGAATAGTCATAGCTCACGGAAAGATTTCCATGTCATTAAAGAGTAAAACTTAGTTAATAATTTGTTTTATATTAGTGTCATTAAGTTCACCAAATATATATATATAATTCCTTTATTGTTAATCACTCATGTCATTTTCTGCCTCATAGGAATACTATTGCCAGTAATTGATGGCGTAGTCCGTTTAGAAGTAAGACAATTATATGTATATCCTCCAATTGAAACATTGTAGTTATAATTAATGATAGCAGTTGAACTGTACATACATATATATAAGATTAAATTCCATTTGTATTATCAAATGACTTTTATAAATCTAAATATATTACGAATATGTATAATTTTTAATTCTTTCACTTAGGACATATCATAAAATTGAATTAATAAAAAAAAAATGTAAAAATAAATTATATAAGAAATACATCTTTACTCTTTGAAATAATAGGAATTTTATGATTTTCTTGAATTACAAAAAGAAAATAACAAATATTTCGTTTTTCTGAATGTTTTTTGATTCTTGCTGTTTATTTATAAAAATCGAATCTAATTTTGATAATAGAGTAATGGTCGTAACGCGAAATTATGATTTAAAAGCAATTCGTATGGATTTTTTTTTAAAATAATTTTTTTATTATGTGTAATTTGCAAATACAGTATGTGTTCTAATTTCAAATCTCTAACATTTATCTAATGCCAGCTATTTCAAGAAGTTCATTTCATTCTTTTACATTTTCTAGATTTCTTCTGTTACATTTTCTAGATTTCTTCTTTTATAAAAAATAAAAATTGCACATGCCAAAATTATTACACCTATCACTATTCCAAGCCCAATCAGTAAAGGTTTTAAAAACTCAGGGGAAGGGGAAAGAGTAGGAATAGGAGTGGGAGTGAAAAGGGGAGAACCAGGAGGGTTAAAATGTGTAATCCACGCATTATTTGTTATATTATAAAGATATACTTTAGAATTATATGTTGCAGAATCTATGTCGTATCCTAAAAATTTTGATAAATGTCATTATAATAGAAAACTGATTATTGTAAAGATTGAAATATATTTACTTACCAAATGTAATTATCATGTAATTCTTATATAAATTTGCTGTATGTCCATAAATAGATGGTGGAGGATTAACTTTGGAACTACTTGAAATCGACCATTCATATGGATATTTATTTGTATCTAACACAGCAAGATTAGGACTGACGCTAGTATAATCTAATGTACGACCCCCAAATATAATAATATATCCACCTAATGCTATATAAAAATTTTTTACTTTAGTAAAATTTTTTTATATTTCATAAATAATAAATATTTTGGATACTTACTCAATACAGAAGTAAAGTCCGTTCTTGAGTCAACATCATCACCAGTTGCATTCTTGGAATTAAATATAACTGATAAGTTATTATATTATTTTATTTTATATATAAATTAATATCAAATAAATACCATATATGACCATCCAACTTTTTTCGTATCAAAGAGTTTAATCTATTTGACAATAATATATTAATAATTATGAATAATTTGAGTAATTCATCATATTAATTTACTTACGTTTTTCATTTTTACAAGAGTGTTACTATCATCTAGTCCACCAAAATAAACAATAATTCCATTTGGTAAAATACTGGCTGAATAGTCACAGTTAAATGGAGGAAGATTATTAGGTATGCTTAAAGTTTTCCAAGTCATCGAGGAAGTATCCAATGTATTCATGTCATTGTAAAATTTTCCTTCATATGTTACAAAATTAGTTACATTAAAGCCACCAAATATATATATAATTCCTGAATTGTCAATTACTCCTGTCATTTGCTGCCTGGTAGGAATGCTATCGCCAGTAATTGATGGTATAGTCCATTTAGAATTAACGTAATCATATGTATAAACTTGGTTTGAAAGATCATCATCGCCTGTAATTTTATTTCTCATATACCCTCCAATTTGAAATATTGTAGAACGGTTTGAACTAAGGATAGCAGTTGAATCGGACATAGATATAGGAAGTTCTCCTTCGCGAATTAAATTCCATGATAAGTTTGTATTATCAAAAAACTTTGATAAATCCAAATAAAATAATTCATACGGATATTCAGTAGTATTTTTATCTCCGCCAAAAATTAAGAGTTGATTATTTCTTATTACACTATTATGAAAATATCTATTACTTGGAACATAGCATAAAATTGAATTAATTAAAAAAATAATGTAAAAAATTAATTCAAATAATTTGAATAGATAATACATCTTTTAATGCTTGAAATAATAGGATTATAGGATTTTTATAATTTTCTTGTATTATAGAATGATTAATAGAATTTTTTTGCCTTCTCATAATAATAGTAAACGTATGTTTACTTTATGCTGTATCCTAAAAATTTGCTAATTTGGGATTCATCTAAACGCCGATGCATATATCGCAACACAAAATATCATCTCATATTTTTAATTCAATTTAATCACCAGTCATACATTATAATAAGTCGAATACGTTCAAGTATATTCATTACAAAGGTATATTTTCTCAACTTAGTAAAATAACTTATTAATTTATAGTTCAAGACGACGTTAAAACACTTACGGAAAACGTATGTAGGAATTAGCAGTGAAATTATTTTCGTGCATGTTAATCATAATATTGGCTGATATTTTGGAATTAGTACCTACAGATATCCCTCGCGTCCTTCAAAATCGTAAAACGGCCACCTTTTTCGTGCTCTGAAAAAGATGAACGCTCGTATTTGAATGAGACAACGCTGGTTTAAATTATGTCTTCATTACTCCAAATCTTCGAAATGGTGTAACAGCCCAGAATAAAAATGCAATAATTGTGGCAAACGGTACAAGAAATTAATCCATTGGAACATGGGTTGAACAGATACTTCTACTATTAAGCATTTTCTCAATAAAAGTTTTGAATTTTTCAAATTTTTAATAATTATAGGTATCAGCATTTTTTTTTTTAATTTATATGGTCAAATGCCCAAATTCCAATACTGAAAATGTTTTACCCCATCAAACTGTATCAAACTGTGCCCAATACTTGCTCCAAAGTATAAATAGGATCAGAAGGTAAATTTGTAAGAGAGGGTTTTTTATTTTATACCAATGACTTATTTGAATGAATTATTTTTAGACTTTCTCTTAAACTCGTAGTACTCTTTTCTGAAATATAATTATTCTCCATGATTTTTGATGAGGTGACTCTTAATATATAGATTGAGACTATATTTATATGTAAAATCACCTATCATATAAAGTCAATTTTGAGAAGGTTAGACACCTATCAGGTACCTGATATACAGTATGTGAAAATATTTTATATCATACATATATCAATTCCTATCATGTCAAATGAGCATTTATAGCAAAGATGATTTGTGAATAATTTATACGAAGATCATTTGTTGTTAACAATTTGCTAATTTCTGCAGGAGTGAACCCATTTTACATAACCCAATCTTCTATGCTACACTTATTTGTCATCTATCCGCAAACGTTTCTGAGAATTGGATACGAAATATTTTAAAAGTTTTTTTTTTTTTTTAATAAATGAATTTCTACAACATTTTTTAATTTTATTTTAGAATTTTCGGATTTATTAACTCTTTACATTTATAATTCATAAAGTTTCGCTTTGAACTTTTATACTTCAATTGATCGAAGAATTTTCATAATTTCTTTATAACCGCTGTCAGAAATTTCTTCATAATCGCTATCAGAATATTCCAAACTAGTTATCTTGTTCTCTATAATTCGATCAAGGTTTTCTAGTAAATATTCCAGGGATTTGATCTTAAAGCTGGAATCTGCTACGTGTGGAAGTTTCCATCCATGATATATCTTCTTATGCGTTCCAGAAAGGATGATATTATATCCTTGTTTTCGTGCAAAATCAATATACAATTCACACAAGTAACAAAATCTTTTGGATACTGCTATAAACACCTCATCTTTTTTCTTTATTATCTATTATGGTAGTCAAGATATTCATCTCTGCATGTAAGCATATGTGTTGTTTAATGCCATTACTGTCCAGTTTAAGCTGTTGTGTAGTTTTGTCAGTATATATTTTTCTTATTTTTTCCATTATAAACGATTCTTCCAAACATTTATTCGTGAAACGTTCATACTCTTCATTATCAATAAACTTTTTAATAACATTTTCCCATGAAAATATGGGTTGATCGGTTATAATAATAGGCTTCATTAAATGTAATTCAATATTCGAAAATAAGGGTTTGTACTTTATATTACGTGCACATTCTATGATATCTATTATAGACTCAGCGTAAGATCCCACCTTTTGGAGATGTCTTAAAAATTCTTTGGGGATCGAAAAATTCTTCTTTGTGTTTCTTATAATACTTGTGTCAACTGTAGGATATTTTGGATTTATTCACTTCATCTACGGTTATTAACATTGATTAAAGCAAAATCCATGAAACGTTTAATATAATCTTTACGTTTATCAGAAATTATATCATTCTTAAGTCTTTTTAATCTAGATTCAAATTTAACAGAACAGTATGTCATTATATCATTATGTAAAACCGCTGGTTCCAATTTCACGGAAGCATCTTTAGATATATTTCTCAGATATAACTCAATCTTGTTGATATATCAATACCACCTTCAAGCCAATCTGAGTCTTTAGAAAGAAAAACTTTACAGCCATCGGATGAATTTTCAACCTTACTGCAACTACTTCTCTATCTCTTGCAAGTATTGTTGCTAAGTTACAAGAAAGTTTGTCAATCTTCTTCGCCTCAATGAATTTATTCGCTTCACTTACGACAGAGTTGATACACTCAGCAACGCACAATTTACTGTACAAATCTTTTTCTGACATTTTGTATAATTTTCTCTGTGGTCATTGAGTATGTATCACCAGTATCATCTACCTACAAATATAAATACGTACTTTTACCGCACCCATATCACATGGATAAAAATTATCAGGTGATTAAATGCGCAGCTCAATTTTATTTTACGTCTTACATACCACAGTGTGAAAAGTGCCAACGAAAAATATTTGAGAAGAAACCTTTCGGACAAAATGATTAGACAATTTGATAAGTGCATTTAAACTTTTTCATACAGAATTTCTGAGAGAGTAATGTTATTAATTTATTCCTAATGTTGGATGCAGCACAACATACAGAATGGGATAATGTGTTAGTATAAACAAACGAAAAACTGGTAGTGTAAGAAATAGTATAGTATAGAAACATTATTACAATCAATAAAGCGATTTTTTACGCATCAATATTTTCACGGTGAGTTTTCTTGGCGTTATGCTCATAAAAATATGTGATCCTACCGAAATCGAAATTAGAAAAATCATAAAACATAAAAAAACAAATAGAATATAAAAGATAACTTGTTTTTAGTCTCATCAGATAAGACTGGCCAAAGGTAAAGATTTGTGGTGGAAAGGTCTAGAAACTCTCATCAAAAATTACAAGTATAAAAGCAAGGATTCCATTACTATTGAAACGGAATTCATTAGGCAAATCTGCGGTCATGTATTTTGTAAAACCATATCGACTATTCAAAATGTAATAAAAATCAATGAAAGATACAAAGAGTCAAACTCATAACCATTTGAAATTGGCTTTACCTCAAATTCTGTACTAACCGATTGAGAATAGAAACTATAATATAGATATCTGAAAAACAAAATGGGTAGAAGAAAGTTTTGAAGCTGGAAGGTACCATAAGGACAAAATGCAACGAAGCGACTTTATGAGTCAGGATTGAAACTTCTAAAGGAGATTTTTGCTAGCTTATTCAATAATTCAGTTTGAAATCCAAAAAAAAAAAAAGGAAAATGGTTATATTCATAATGGTATAGTTTTATTATTCTTTCGATTGTTTCTAAATTTTATACATTTCGTAGATCTAGTTTTAATGATTATGATGTTAAATCTCCCAGCTGGCTATATAACCCATATTAATAAAAGCAAACTAGAATTATAGTAGTTTGAATAGTTTTTTTTAAAAAAAATTTCAAGGTTCTAACAAAATAATTACACTAACCACCTAACCAATAAAATCTTCCAGACAATCAGATGACACCATCGTTAATAAAGTTTGACAGTAGTGATTCGATGATTCAATTATTGCGACTTCGCGGTCAATATATGTAAAGTGTTTATAATTTGTATCCGCTTATGGTTCCTGGTAAGAAATAAATCAAAAAAATAATAAAAATAAAACAACCATTAAAAAAATAAAATCATCGTTTAATCAAATTATCATAAATCTAATATGCCTCTATGAGGAGCTTTAATAAATTCTGTGACATTTTACCACGATTAGAACTACATAACTTTACCACATAGAATCATAATTCGGGATCACGAATGTGAAAATGTCGATATTTTTATGAAAAGGTAATAATTTCGCACAAAAATTATCAGATCGACAAATGTCATGCATGAACAAAAAAAGCGACAACATACCCGATCACACCTTTTAGAAATCATTTTTTTTATTTATATGCGCGGGTTTAAATGTATATGATCAGATATTTTACTTCAAACACATTTTCTTGCTTTGAATAAATGCAGCTTTCACATCGGGCATAATTATTCTAAAAAATTTTTCTGTTAATATCTAAATTCATTATTGTTTTTATTATTTCATTGTAATAATAACACAAATCACAAATGCACTCCAGATTTGAAATCAATTTAATAAATAAATATTTTTTGGTCACACAATTTTTCCAATTTTAGTTGTAAACCTATTATTATCTGTGAACATTTGTTTATAACGTTGTCGTTGGTCGGGTAATAATAAATAAACAAAGTTCATTATTACAAAAAAAAATATATAAAGATTACTTTTTATGAAATGTGTATACATATGCATGTCAATTTTTACCTGGAACCTTTGATACAAAAATTTTCTTTCAAACATATCCTTCATTCATTCCTTACATAATAATACTTTTGTTTCAAGAAAGAAAATTTATGGAGAGTTGTTACTAATTTATACTTGTATCATATTCTATTATTGTAACATTTCTCACCTTTATTAATATACCATAAATTTGAGTTTATTGGTTCTTTCCTTAAAAAATTTCACATTCATAAATCCCTTTTTATCAATTTATCTCAACTTGGACCCTTTTTGTATTTTCGTCCAATTTAAGATTTCAAATAATACACCATCACAAAATTCAAACGCGAAACTATCTTCATAATACGCCCAAATTTATGGTATATGTATTTAAAAGAAATTATATATATATATAAATGGATAAAAAAGTATTAACGCAAAACCAAAAATTAGAAAGATTACACCAGTTTGCAAATAAAGGTATTTTTCTATATCATTTTAACATCAATTTTTTTTATTTATCTATTTAATAATAAATTTCTTTAAAACAGGGGGGATCGGAAAATGTGTTGCAACTCAAGATACCATAGCAAACTCTCAAGTTGATTTGATGTTTTATACTGGTAGAACATAATTTTTATTTCTAATTTCTTGATGTAATTATCTAAATTTAATTAATTATGATGAAAATTTATAACTTAATATTTATAAGAATATTTTTATTTATTTTATATTTATTTTTAGGAGAAATCATTACTGTCTTAAAACATATAAAAGAGGATATTTATTTAGTGAGTACATAAATTATTGATATGCTATATATTTATCTAAATATTTTAAATTCTTTTTTTTTTATTTTTTATTTTTTTTATTTTTTTTTTTTGTTTGTTAAATAAAAAAAAACAACTGTTTTTGCATCTGAAATTATATTATATCAATAATAATGGTTCAGGGTTATTGTGAAGGAGTAATTGGAAGATTTCGTGGCAAGGATGTATCATTTTATAACCCATTAAAGTCATCAAATTCTTTAAAACCAGGTGACCATCTATCAGACGAAATAATATCTTCTGATAGTGGTGATGATAATAATAATAATAATTTAAGATCACAAAAACAATTGGATAATTTTCTTAGTCCTGAACAAGCAATTCAAATGAGATCAAGAGCTTCTTCAATATCTTCTATCGACATTGGTACAATAATATTTTTAGTCAATTTAGATTTATTTTATTAATTTTTTTTTATTTTTATTTTTTTTTAATTTTATTAATCAAATTTTATTATTGATTTTTATTAATTTAGATTCAGGAAGAAATTCACCTTGTTCGCCTGTTCCGTCATTATCGAAGAGCACTATCCCAAGTTCCATTAACGATGATGTTAATGGTAACTCATCTCAAACGTGGACTAATACAAAAGATATTGAAAATTCACTTAATAATAATAATGTCCTTTCAAGCACTTCTTCATCATTAAATAGTAATAATCTTGATGGATCACTTGCATCACAAAAAAAAACATCACTAATTTCAAATGATCAATCAAAACTTCCTCCATTATCATTCAATGGTAATAGTCAAAAAGCACATTATAATCAAGATAATCAAGACGTTCAGTCTTTAAAAAATTCACCAAGAAAAATGTCTATTTCGCCATCAATTCAACTTGATCAATCATTTAATCCTAGAAGGAAAAATTCTGCCCCTCTGATATCTAATAATGAAATACAAATTAATTCTGGTAGTTTCAGAAAAAATTCTGCGCCAACAACTCTGATTGATAAGGGTAAACTGATGCGTAAAACATCACACGATGATATAGGTTTGTTAAATTTTATTGAACGAATTTTTTTTAAAAAAAAAAATTTAAAAATTTTGAACTTATTTTTCTTTAATTTACAAATATTATTATTATTATATTTTGAAGGGAGTCAAATATCCTTTGGTTCTACAATTTATGTTCCTACAAAATCAGATAATAATAAAACAGCAACTTCTTCAGATTCTTCACCCAATTCATCTATAAATTCTATTCAAAGAACTCAAGATTTAGAACCTACCACACCGATGACCCCGAGAACGCCAGTTTCGCCGACATCCTTTTTAAACGTGGGACCACCTCAACCAACACCAACACAAGTACCTAACCCAGACCGTCCGGTTATTATTAAACCTCCAGTTAGAAAAAGTTCCATAATCCCGGATAGCTTACAGAACTATGAGAAGAGGCCTCAAGAAAATATTAGGAGTGTTAGTGGTCGAAATTCACCGTCTTTGCCAGCTTCGCCTACTTCTCCTATAATATCTAAACCAAAAATTCAGTTAAATTCTTCCGGAATATCTAATAAAGGAAATCCCACTAATCAACATGACAGATCCACATCACCCATACCTCAGATTTGTATCGACAAGCAAGACATGAACATTCATTTAAATAATGTTGTGAATAGAAATAACAATTCCTCAAATAAACCTGTGCCTTCATCACAATCAATTCCTCTAATCAAAGTTGTAGACAGTGATTCTTATGAAAGTGATTTTGGCATTAAAAAGGCTCCTGGAAGTGCTAATGACTTTTCCCCTCCGATGCCAGCATTTATGATAGAAGCAGCTAATGATATTAGTGGTAATGAAAGTGAAGATCTTAGTTCTGAAGACGAAGATGATTCGGATGAAAAATTCCTAGAAGATAATAATAGAACTTCTCAATCAAAAAAAGATAAAGTGGTTGCAATTGATGAATATGGATTTGTACATAATGTTGCGGAAGAAGAAATTCCTGAAGGTGCTGATGGGGTTCAAAGAATGTTGGTATCCTATTTTACCTAATTATTTTTTTTTGCTATTTTATTTATTTATTTATCTTAGAAAATAGGCATAAATTAAAATTATTTTTTTTTAAAATTATTTTTAAAATTAGAGTAAAAGCTCTTGGTTCCTCGGAAAGAAACTCACGTACCATTCGTTTATATCGTGAACGCGAAGCAAAATGGGTTTCTATATTAGCGAATATGGATCCTACAATGTCAAGGGGATCTAAAAAGGTGAAAATAATAATTATGTTATTTCTTATCTTTGTTAATATCAACAATCTTTACCTAAGGTATCTTTTTTTTTCGATTTTTTAGATCAAGAAGTTAGTTCGTTTAGGTATTCCAGAGTCAGTTCGAGGAAAATCATGGCAATTATTGGCAGGTGTACACAAATATAGACAACGAGGTGTTTATGATGTAAGTGTATATATATATATTCACATATTATAATTTATGAATTGTATTATCCAAATAATTGACATTCCGTATATTTTTTTTGATTAGGATTTATGTAAACGAGAAAATCTTCCCATATATGATGTGATTGAGAGAGATATTCGTCGATGTTATCCTGATCATATTCAATTTCGTGAAGATACAGGTTTTGGACAAGATGATCTTCACAATATATTGAGAGCGTACGCACATTATAATCAATCAGTAGGATATTGTCAAGGTATGGGAAGATTAGTTGGAATGATGTTAATGCAAATGCCAGCCGAAGATACATTTTGGCTTCTCGTGGCTACTATTGAAGAATACATGGTTGGATATTTTACCCCGACGTTGTCACAAGTACGGATCGACTCCATTGTATTTAAACATTTATTATTTGAACATGATCCTAAATTAGCACAACATTTGGTAAGCACTTTTAATTTTTTAGATTTGAATTGAATTTCTATTAAATTCAAATTTCTTAAAAAAATTGTTTTAAATCGAATCGTTTGAATTAGGCTGATAATGATATAGTTCCACTAACGTATACGACTCAATGGTTCATGACAATATTTACCATGGCATTACCATGGGCATCGGTTCTTCGTGTTTGGGATATATTTTATCTTGAAGGTATTTTTTTAGTTCGAATAATATATTTATATATATATATATTTCCAATAACACTGTATTTTAAATTGTAAATTTTTTTGTCATTTAAATTTTTATAGGAGTTAAATTCTTCTTTCGAGTTGGTTTGGCAATATTAGATTGTACACGTGAACACATTTTAAAGAGTTGTCCATCGACTTCAGAAATTTTGGAATTTTTATTACACATACCACCTGAATTTTTAACACCAAATTTACTTCTAGAAGCAGCATTTAAGATAAAAGTGAAAAGTAGCACAATTCGAAGGATGACAAAGAGAGTATCGGAGATTGAAAGTAATAATAGTTCAGGTACTGATACGCCAAATCCAATTTATAGTGTTGTTAAAGATAAAAGAAATATAATGAAAAAATCGAAAAGTACAGATAAATTAAGAATTGATGGAATTGAATTTAAAATAATTGGTGAGGGTAGTAATTCCTAAAGAATTATTATCTGAATAATAATTGTAATTTTTTATTGAATTTTTGAATATAAAAAAGTTTTATTATTAAAATTATTTATTGAAAATGTTACAAAATTCACAAATTCATAAAATTTCACATTTATCAAATTCCACAATTTCACAAGATTTTTTCAATATTTCTCAATATATCTCTCAGAATATGTTATGTTTAATTCCAAATATTCATTAATGTCAAGATTTTGGATTTTATATTCATATAACAAATATATCATATTTCCCGCATTTTTTTTTTTGATTTCAACTATATTATTTATATTCTAGCATACGTAGGATGTGGCCGAATTTTTTATTCACGTTTAAAGAAGATAAAGATATTAAGAAAACGAAAATATGAATAAAGAGGAAACTAATTACCTAATTACAATTGGAAATATATTATTCGAATATAGACAAGTAAAATATATATAAAAATATATATATATATAGACAGGTAGACTATAGAATCAAATCATTTATTATTATATTTTACATAGATTAATATTCTTTTTTTATAGAAATTTTAAAAATAATGGTTGATTATAGATAAAATTCAAAATTTAAAATAAAATATATATTTTAAATTCTTTGACTAATAGTAATTATCAGAAAACTTTATAGAATGTAAACATCTGGAAATGTATGCACTGGAAATTTTTTTTAAAGAAAAAGCACAAACCTCTGGTAAACCTCTAGCGGAAATAATATAATTATATTATTTCCACTGGGATTCGTGATTTGTGTGTCGATCGAAGTACGCTCGTTTCATGAATTGCGTGGATAATAAAAACTTGGCATAGCTTGAAGTTGGTGTTACCTGTGATTTCCCACTAATATTATTATATTATTTGAATTATTAGTTATCTATTATTTAGTATTATTTATATTATTTAGCTAGTATATTATTATTTATTTATTATATTTATTGTAGTGTCTTTAAATATACCGGTAAAGAAATCTAGCCAAAATGGAATGATCATACAATAGCTGTTGTTAATAGCATTGATTTAAAAAATGTATTTACATTGAGCATCACCTTAAAAATATTGTTAGAGTTACTAAATTCGCTGAAAAAAGCCTTACAAAAAGAAAGTATAGGCCAGCTAAGTCACGTGACAAATAAGCAAGGAAACAAAGGATCTTTAGTTTATCTTGGAATATAAAACTCAAGACTATGTAATAGGAACTTTAAATATACTCTTTAGAAACAAAGAAAGTAAAATAATAAAAAGAGAGATTTATTTATTCAAAGAAAAATATAAATAGTAAAAATTTTATTGACTTAATTAAGAAGATATTACAAGAAAATAAAGAACATAGTATTTGCTATAATTATCTATCCTAATTCATTATTTAATTTGCTCAATATTTATTAATTCATTAAACTTAATTAATTAAAAACTACTTTTTGATAAAGAAAAATAAAGCTCTTTATATACATATTTGAAACTATTCTATAAATTAATATATCAATTGATTAAATGATGAAAAAAAAGAGAAAAGAATAAAACTACTAAATTAAAGCTGAATTCAGTCTTGCTAAGCTTCTTGGCCACTGTGAAGGTGGTGACAATTCAAAACAGATGGAACTTCACTTATAAGTCTATTGTTAAAAAGAGTAGCCTTTCAATAAAAAGAGTAGTCTCTCACTAAGAAGAGTGGTCTCCTTTTCAGTATGGCATATCTTTTGTATTTGACCTGTGGATATGAGATATATTTTATTTTTTAAGCCACACTTAAGTGATATGTATTTCATTTTTTAATCCACACACCTGAGTATATTATAGTTTATACAGTATATCAGGTGCTATATAGGTTATATTTGTATTATCACTTGAAAACTGTTGAGACATGTACCAGTGTGATGTGCATTTTGTTTTTAGGTCATACTTGAGTGATGTACATTTTTACTTTTAAACATGTATCAAGATATGCATTTTGCATATCAGGTCATATGGATAAAAAAATATCTGATAATGTATTTAGTCATGTTGTAACGAATATACTAATTCATTTTAGAAAATAAATATCAACAAATATTTATTAGCGAAGTTTGTGGTTTATAATTAAATTATTTTAC